TATAAATGATAGTCGAAGAAGTTTAACAATGTATACCGATAATAATTAACAAAACAAATTGCATACAAATTACACACGTGACACTTAAAATGCGAACCGCTTGTGCTGAGTCATAAAGACTAAGCGTAGTTTCTTGTTGTAGCTGTCTAGCTACACAATAGTAAGTACAAAGTTGTTTTATTTATTCTTTAACACGTTAAACGCCTTGGCAGTGACCGTTGACCGACATTAGCGGAGGATTTGCCTTCGACAGTATTTTATTGGCAGCCAATGTCTTAATGTTGAAACGACAGTACTCTCTGTTAGGTCAAAAATAAAACAAACAAAACATCACAAGAAACGCATATGTTTTGTTTATCATCAATCGAATTAGAGGAACACTAATTATGAACAAATAAAAGCATATGCCACCATGACTCGAACCATTTCGTGTGTCGAGACTCGAGAGCTAATTTGTAGTTTTTGTTGAATCTCTGTTGAGCCAGATGGTTGTAGCACGCATGCCGTATGGCGTCAGCAGAATACTAAGGCAGGAACATGGCATAATTTCACTGTCTACTATCTCAAACAATCTGGTCTCATGTCGGAAACCCGAAAAGATATATCGTTTTCTTTCATCCACATAAATCCTGGTAATACTACTGCGTTTTGGATTGAGTCTGGTGTCTGGAATAAAATTAGCTTTTCATTACTAAGAACTGCCTCGTTGGCCGAGTACGACTGCCGGGCAAGGGGTCTCGGGTTCGATTCTCAGGTCGGGCAAAGTATTACTGGGTTTTCAAAAAAAATCTTAGTAGTAGCACGGAGTCTGTAATTGTGCCCGTTATATGGCAATAGGCTAACCCCCTATTACATGGGACTCATAACATAAATAGAGAAAAGCGGGTCTTATATTGTACAGTGGCATAATGTGCACCTCAGCCTACCCCTTCGAGGATACCTAAATGGCGCGATGTTATGTTATGTACATACAAGAACTGGCGAAATTTGGTGTGACATGATTTCACCTTAATAATATGCGTCTCATCACATTACATATATACTACTTACTTTGAGGAACGAAGCGCTGTGAAAATTATATAGAGTGAACGCTCTCGAAACAGCTTACAAAAAATTGGTTTGAGTATTTTAAATTTTTAATCGTTATACAATTCTTGTTTACGTGAGAAACATCAGCCTTGCGTGGTTGATTACTATTATTATTACATAATAGAAACATTTAATTCTTTACTTTTATGAATGTAGATATTTAGTCTATTCTTTTGTATACCCGTTGAAATCCACCCCCTAAATTTGGTCATACAAAAGTAGTAAAGTGCGTAGAAAAAGTGCTTATTCAGTTTCTTTAGTGAATTCGGTAGTACCCTAAAGGTAAAGTCCGTTTTTTGCTGGTTCCCATGAACCCTGTGACAATGGCTTCGACCTCGCTGAAAGACTTCGGGGAGATCCACGCAAGAATAAATATTCTACAACAATAGGGTAGCTTCTTTGACTTTACTTTGCTGCGTAGCACGACGAACCAGTCTTGATCTTTAGAATTAAGTCACCTACAAGGAAGTATGTAACAAAAACATCAATTCACTAGTAGGTATTTCTATTTAAAAATGTAATTAAGTACCTATTATTAAAAATGATTCGGACATTCGTATTGGCGGATGCGATTGTTCAAGGTTTATGACGTAAAACATTCACTTAATCAATATTTATGGTATATTCATAAAATTGTATTGCAGTTATAAATATGTCGGGAATAATTTTGCTCATAGGTGTGACAGTAATAAAATATGACGCTGTCACCGAATAAGGTGTGATAACATTAATCTATGTACAATTAAAAGTTGTTGATAAATGGTTGAAGTATCAAGACGGGTGAGGCGTGCTATGAGAGGTAACAAAAGATATAGCGGCTCGTAACGGACTTTTTTCGAGGCGGCATCGATCAGGATATCTTTCTCGTAGCTTTACTGATGCAAGGACCCGCCATTCCCACGCATCGCGTAACCTGATTACTGAATTAATGTATTGGTCGAAACAATTTTGTCACGTGCTTTAGGAGGTGGGTATAAATTGGCGCCGTTTTAGATATTATTATAATACCTAGTTTCCGGGTTTTAAAGTTATTTTCATAACAGTTGTTGTTGAGCCAAAATATTTTGTCTTTGTTTTACAAATTGCTCGAATATGGAGATGGGGTCTCCATTCAGCACAGTTATGTTATCAGAGTTCTAATCAAGTCTATGATCACAAGATACCAATTACTGCACAGTCAACCTTAGTTTCTTCTAATACGAAATAATCGATACTAAATAAAATGGCAGAAATGGGTATGGTATTACAGAATTTTAATTAAACCCATCTATCTAAGAAGAGCGCATTTGTTACTTAACACTAAAAAGGAGCTACAAAGTATGTAGAACCAAACAGGTCTTTGAGCGTTTTAAGTGCAGTAATAATCTACGCAGATAATGATAGTAAAAATAAGCGTTCGTTAAACTGCACTGCTACTGTAGATAACTGTATGAAGATATCGGTATAAGAGGACACTTGTTCCAAAGGATAATGGCCACTTGCTAAAGAAATAATGTTGTCTTAGCACTTTAAAAAGACCGTCTCCTGTTCTCTTTAGAAAATGTAATTAAAAGTACAATTTCTCCGTAGCATTCCGTGTGTGACCTTAAAGGCATATTTACGATCCCTATCTGTAGTGAAAACTAGTTCATTTTGCCCTTTTATAAGCCACGTTCCTAACTGTATTTGTAATATGCGCTTGTATGTCATAGTTAATTAAGGGTTGTTTATCATACAAGTGAATCATCTAGACTTGATGTTTAGACAATTGTTATCTAAATAACTAGATGAGTGATTCAGTCACTGAGATAGATATTTGCAACTATTATCTAGATATGGGAAAGCCAATACGGAGAGATTCTTTAGGGATTGCATCAAAGTGTTACTCATGTCATATCGTTTTGAGATAAAGGTCTTAGTTCTAATAATATTTGATAAATTTCATTTGACGAATTGGTGATAGGTGGCGATAACTTTAATAGAGTTTACCTAACACAATTTTTGTCAGTTATGTCGCTATTTCCGTGTAATGATACAATTTATTGCTTATTATACGTATCATGCGCGACTCGATGTGAAAATGTGTTCGTATTGATGAGAATAAATAAACTTATTTATTTAGAATCCAAGTTTTATAGCCAGGAATTATACGTAGTACCCGTGTTCTCAAGATCCACAATAAAGTATTTTTTTAAACACCGATAACTTACTTCCTAACGGTGATGGATATTCGTTCATGTGTATCAAAAACTTTAATCATTTGAAACAGCGCCTGACGAATGGAGCGGAAAATATTTAAATGGAAGTCAAAATAGCGTGCAACTACCCCATAAAATATGGCGATATTTTGATGTAAGGAAAAAATTAAGGGAGAAATTTTACATTCTTAAAGTCCCGGATACAAGGAGCGTGCGGAACGAAACTAAAGGAAGAAATAGGCGAACTTTGTTTACCAATGTTGGAATATGTGGCATTCTTCATCAGCAAAAATTCCTTTATTTGACTGAAGTCAAAGCAATTTATAAGCTTGTGCTGTAATTCCGGATTCAGAAAAAGTTAAGTAAAAAACAATGAAACAGATGGTTTCTATTCTAATATATACCTAAGTAAGTGTGGAAGAACCATGCTTCGGCACAAAAGGGCCAGCTCGACCGGAGTGATACCACGGCCTCACAGAAAACCGACGTGAAACAACGCTAGCGTTGTGTTTCGGCCCCAATCTCCCCATTCCCCAAATCCGCAACAATCCTCAAATTCCTAATCCCCAAAAGGCCGACAACACACTTCCAACGCCTCTGGTGTTCCAGGTGTCCTTGGGCGACGCAGATTGCTTACCATCAAGTGTGTGCTTTGTCCAACCGCTTACGTACAGAATACTGCATATTATTTCAAAATAATGCACTCGTATTAAGTAGGATTCTGTGGGAGAAATCTGGACTTGATATTCAGCAGCTGAGTTCACAATCAACAGGTAGGTACATACCTATTCATAACAATTGCAAATTCATCAAAGTTTACAAATTGCAGCATTGATTTGAATAATTTGAAATGTGTTTCATAAATATTAAATCAGTGCAGTCGACCCAAATTGTAATCAACCCGTTTGTATGGGTCTCCCTTGAAACTTGGTATTTTTTACGCGGGATAACGGCGGCGGCACATTACAATCATAATAGCGCTATCGCCTTACCGTTAACGGCTCGGGTTTTGGGCTGACTGCACCAAATGTTAACGGCAGATTAAGGAACGAACTTAGATTAGAAAATTGAAATCCATTCAAGATATAGATTATTGTACTGTTATTGGGCTGACAAAATTAGCTAGCATTAATCAAAGCTGGTAATGCATTTTTAGTACGAGGTTATTGAACAAAAATGCAACAGGATATTATGTATTCTTCCTGTATAACAATAATTTAGAAATATTTTTAAGCTCGTATGTATTTGTTTTCAAATATTTGTTTTATATTAACTCGTCGAGTACCGGTTTTGTAGACACAATTATATAACAATAAGTTGCGGTCACCGGTGACCGCTTGGTGTTTGACAGTTTAAATTATTATATTAAAAATAAAATTTAATTTGAAAAAAGAACTATATCGTTAAAAGTTAGTTTGTCAGTTAACAAGAGATTTAGAGGATGATGCCATCGACCGCAGCGGCTTATGCTAAGCTGCAAAGCGCTTTAAGTAGGTCATTTACTGTCAAATGATTGGTCGCATTAGCATAAGGGTCTTTGTCTCACCGGGGTTGGTATTGAGGGAATGTGACATAAATGGCCTTACTCAGACTTATTGGCCGTAGAGAAATTAGGAGAAGAGAATTTGTTAGGGCCAGTGGCAATTTAAATTTCATTTCAACACGTTATCAGCTTTCCTCAATTGATTTTACAACAGATAAGATGGAAAGAAGTGATACACAAAATTAGGGTTCAGATATGTTTATTATCGTAAATTAACTAAAATCTAACATCACAATGTTTACTAAAATAGAAGGCACTAAGTCAAGTAATTCAATTTGTATAAAGAGGTGCCCTAGGAAACTCGTAAGTATTTACAATATTTGAACTATTCAGGCGAGCTTTTATCTATTCTACCATACACTGGACAATCATTGAATATTTAAGTCATTGAACTATGTTAAGCTACTAGAATTACATATAAATAACACGATCAATGTACAAAGCTTGAAGTGCAGGCTCGTCTCTCGACCGTTACAACACACCTTGCGCCTGCGCCGTCAACCGACTTTGGCACTAACAGCTGTATGTTATGTTTTACTAAACTATACATACGTCTATCGCAATAAATATCTAAAATTAAATTTATCTACATGCGAACTACGTTCAATCATATCTTAATTAATTCTTATTGTTATGTTTCAGTAATCGAGCTTGTCTAGTTTTCTCCTGCCACCATTTCAAGGTTTCTTCGAATTGTTCTCTGTCTTCTGGTGTCACTTGAATATCTGGTAGTTCTTTCTTCAGTTCCATGTCATCATTAAACTGATCCTCAACTAATAAAGTGTTGTCAGCCTTAAATTTATATTCGTTATGGTTCAAAATCAGTCCAGGATCAATCGAGGGAAGGCTAGTGTCTTCAGTGAAACTGTGATGCATTTGTTGATTCATAATCGTAGAATATTTCACTTCAAAATCATTTTCAGTCACTGGCACATCAGTTTCACTCAAATAATGTCTTTCAGGAATCACTGTAAATTGTTCAGCTGAATTCGGGAATGCGAAATGTCCTTCCAATAAATTAGGAGTGATCTCTTCGTGACCTAGAAGATCAGATGATGGAGTGAGAGGTTGTCCAGCGCCTTCTTCTTCTTCATACAAATTTGGAGTGGCCACTAACTGGAACTGTTCTGCTGCTTGTATATCAATATATTGTTGTCGAGGAATATGCATAGATCCGTCTAACTCATCTTCATCCATATCCTCATCTTCAATTGCAGGAGAATGCAATGAATAGTAACTTCTTTCTTGACTATTTTCTCTAGGCGATGATGATGCTGGAGACGGGAATGATTCCATTGATGGTCGTGACGAGTTTTCTTTGTCGTGACCGATGTTCAGCAAGTTCTCCAAGTTTCGAATATATTCAACGGCCATACGTAGCGTTTCCACTTTACTCAACTTTTTGTTAGCTCCTCGATTGGAGTTAGCATTTTCGAAGGCAGCCGCCACTTCTTCTGGGATATGTCGGCGGAGAGCGGCAAATCCATCATTGACTTGGCGCACTCTGTTGCGTTCCCGCGCATTTCGTCGAGCTACTGCAAGAGGAGTTGGTGACCGCACTGATTCATCCGCATTTTCACACGATCGCGATTTCTTAGCCACTGGTCCTGTTGATGAGGCAGTATCAGCAGCACGAACTAATGATGTCACTGACACAGTCGTTGGCACGGATGGGGTCTTATGCTTCTTTCTCACTATAATAATTTCACGTGTGGAATTTTGATTGCCTACATTGTTCGATATGTTCACGGAATTATTCACGGATTCCTGGAGCACCTGCGACTTGCCGAGCGGCGAATTGCGGAAGACAACAACGCCTATGGAACTCATTTCGTTACGATGAGTTGCCGTTTTCACATGTTACGTTTGTTTATTTTGTATTAGTTGCGGACTTGGGTTAGATTATATCACGTAGAAAATAACTGTTTTCTAGTTAACTGGAGTAGGACTATTCGATGGCGTCAGAGCGCCGGCCACGACAGGAATGGCGCGTGCCGCGCGGGCGCACCTGGGGTGGCTCGCGGGGGGATAAACAGGGGTACTTACGTTGACTAGTTGCACACATGCTCTTTCAAAGGGCGGAATGGGGAAGCGTTCCTGTTCGGTTTGATCGTTACATTTATTTTTTCGTTAAAATATTATAACAGTACAGACAATCATTGAATCTATCTACGCTTTGATTAATGTATTTTATCTTGTCCAAAAAGTAGCTAGGTTCATTTTCTTTAAATAACGTATTCAAAAACTTATATCACTAATAATTTTCTAAAATAAATTTCATTTTATTGAAACAGATTCTGACTACATTAAAAGTTCAAATCAAACTCGATCACGAACAGCAACGATGATCCAATACCTGAACAGTATAAAGGACAATATAATTTTCATGGGGTGTCGCACCCAACTATAGGTTTATACATGTGTGTGTAAGCTGCACTTACATACCAACACATATCTACTTTATTATGCCATATAAACGCACACATGGACAATAATCTAGCTAAAACCGTTCGCGTGTTTCAATGGAACTCCGAAATGATTGCGCTGGCGCAGGGGGTTGGCAAATGGAATATTTAATGTTAGCAGTGGTTAAGAGTAGTAATATTGTTGTATTTTATTGCTCAGTACTTTAAAACTTCTGTAAATGTATGCTTCAATCCCATTTAAATACTGTACCTATATGGAATAACACTAACTAAAAGAATGGACATATTTTTATGGAAACATTTTCATTGTCCTTTTAGAATAGTTTAGGTCCAACTTCAAAGTATCCCAAAAAAATGCATATGACTTATTTGCCAAAGTAAATGAACAATACAATTTGAGGAAGACATTACATGTACCCAATAGAAGATAGTAAACCATTTATTATCTAGATATAATATAATAATTAATCTTTTTTTCCACTGTCATGTTTGTATGTATGTATGTGTGAGCTTGTACAGTTGTACACCCACGCCAGCTGCTTGCCCTTTAGCTTTTGTGTAGTGGCACGCGCCACAGTCCTAGTATGACTATTGTTACATCTCTAGTTCAACTGTATACTTCCCTGAATCTCATTATAATTCATGTTTCCAAGGAATTAGAGTTCATTTTACGCTGGCGAAAAGTTTTTGGAATATTGGAGCTATGAAACGGGATTATCAATGGGAGATAGAAAAGGTTCGAAGGTTGATCAACGGGTCGGTTAACGTTTATTATAAAATTAAGTTATTAACAAAGTTTGGTTCTTAATACAAATGTGATCTATGAAGGCATATACATATTACTTTAGCAATGCAGGAAAAAATAGTGAAGTGTCATTTTAAGAATTATTTACTTATTGTAACATTCTGAATTACTACCTAGACAAGGTACATTTAGTACCTAAACAAGGTAGTATAGTAAAATCTTCTTTTACGCCAAAAATGTATTTGTTACTCAAATAAGCGAAAAATGCTGAACTAAATTCAATGGAATTTTTTTTTTTAAAAAAAACGTTGCCCCACACTAGGATTTTCTCCTGTGTCGTGGGTGCGTTTACAAACATATAAGTTCACATACACATGACACCCAGACCCGGAACAACAATCTGTGGATCACACAAAGAATTGTTCCGTGCGGGAATCGAACCCGCGACACGTTGCGCGGCAGCCAGTTGCCCAGCCAACGCGCCAACCGTGCAGTCAAAATTTGCAATAAGAATTAATGATCTGTATGAATAATTTGTTATAGGTAAGTACTTACCTACTTTTTCCTTCGAGGACTTTGTTACTACGTGCGCCCGTCTTCGAGGACTCTTTTCAAAGTTTTATTGATGAAAAAATTCAAAATTTTTCTGTCGTTTCAGAAAGACTGTATCACATTAGAATGCATTCGGCCTATACTATTATTCGTTTTTGTTGTTTTGGTCCCAAATTTATGTATTTTTTGCGCTCGACCCACCTCTGGTCTGCACCCCTTCTTTTAGAAAAAATTGACCGAAGCATTAGACAAACTTTATCCTTAATTTTGAATGTGGCTCTCGACGACCGAGCCTGGACACAAGCTACTCTGCCTGTCCGCATGGGTGGGCTTGGCGTCCGTAAAATTTCCAGTGTAAGCCTACCAGCTTTCATATCTTCCGCCCATGGTACTGAAGAATTAACCAGGAAAATTCTTTCTCAATCACTGGTTAATTTTGATGTACCATTTTTAGTGGAAGCTGTGAAAGCTTGGAAAATCGCTTGCCCAAATATTGACCCCCCCGTCAAATCACTCTCCCAGAGACAATGGGACGAGCCGCTCTGCAGGAAAGTGAGCGAAAATCTATTGAACTCCGCTTGTTCAACTGCAGAGCGAGCTCGCCTTTTGGCTGTGGGTGAGTGGGAGTCAGGGTTATGGCTTCTTGCTTTGCCTTCGTCCAACTTAGGTACTTTGTTGGACGACACCACATTCCGCGCTGCAATTTGTTTAAGGCTTGGGGCTTCATTTTGTTCACCTCATCGTTGTCGTTGTGGTGAAGATGTCAACAGCCTTGGACACCACGGCTTGTCGTGTAGCCGTAGTGCGGGTCGTTTTGCTCGACACGCGAGTATTAATGACATAATTCGTCGAGCTCTTGTCTCCGTTGGCGTGCCAGCTACTTTAGAACCTAATGGCTTGGTACGCAACGATGGCAAGAGACCCGACGGTATGTCATTATTCCCTTGGAAGATGGGTAGGCCTTTAGTATGGGACGCCACTTGCGTTGATACTCTGGCGCCATCCCATCTTCCAAACTCAGCGTGTCGAGCCGGTGCTGCCGCTGCTGCTGCCGAGAACCTCAAACGGCGAAAGTATGATAGCCTGATTGGCAATTATGCTTTCGAACCGTTTGGGGTTGAAACTTTAGGGCCGTGGGGCCCAAGTGCACATCTTCTTTACAAAGATATTGTAAAGAGGATGGTTGACACTTCAGGTGATCGAAGGGCTGGCTTCTACCTTGGACAAAGGTTAAGCATTGCCATTCAACGTGGTAATGCTGCCAGTCTTTTGGGCACCCTACCTCACGATAATGATGAGGAAAATTTTTTTTTTGATGCCTTATTATAGCTTATTTATTTATTATTACCTTTTTTTTAAGGTGTAAATATTTTAGTTCATAGTTATTTATATTTTAAGTTGTACTTTTTCCTTAGAAAGAGTTGAAACTCGTGTCGTGAAGTGGTGAAACCACAGAAAGAGGTTAACTACCTCATTTCAGTGGCTAACAGGTAAAAGGTGGTGACCCTAACGAATATTTGCTTACCTAATAAGGTCAGAATTAATTACTTATTAATTTGTGCCATCCTTAAAAAAAGTTTCTTGTTTATAGAGAAAATATTACATTAATTGAATGGCATTAAAAACAGTTATGAATTAATTATATTATGTCAGATACCTAATAATTTATGAATTTATTAATATTTTTATGTTGAAACTTTGGTGAAACATCCTAAATGAAGTTCTTACTGTTATGTTACCATGGTAGATATATTTTTTGTATCCATGCTAGTTAATTTACGCATTGTAGGCTATTATAGGGAATTTAATCTTCAATGTGGTTAAGTGACGCCTAAAATAAGTATCGATACATTTATCTACTCCGCATTAGTTGCTCAGAAGAAAATGTATATTACTTGGTGCATACATAAGTCATTTAATGTGCGATCTTAGTAGAATACTTATATTCAGACAAAGCTTTATGTGACAAACCGAAAATCTAATTGGAGAAAATCTAGTAAAAAGTAGGAGAAAGAAAAATGTGTTATTATTAGAAGTACTAAGTAGTGATATTTCTTGTCTACGCTTGAAATGTATCTAAGTAGCATTTACTCAACGTTTTTCTACGACGGCAGAGGAATTTAGGATATCCTTTAAATCAATTTGCATGCCAAATAGTACACAAATCGCTCGTCAAACATTTTATTAGTGCCTATGAAATCGATAACTAATTTTTATATCTACAGAGATATTACAAAATTATGCTTAGATTACAAAAAAAAATCTAAGCAAGAGCGGATTACAAAGCGCCTGATATTATTATAAGGCAACGCGAAGCATTGGCGTTTATCTGTACTCCGATTCTTAAAGGCGTTAATAAAAATATAATAAAAATAGCACAAACTTATTAATAAAGTTAACGATTTACATTTAAAACGTGTTCCAATATTATTTTTACATCTCTTGCTAATGAACACTGGTAAAAAAAATAATGTTAAAAACAACAATTAAAAAATGAAATTCGAAGATGGAAACATTAAACTGTCTCTGGATTTACAGTAAGACGAGTGCTCCTAATACTCAAAAGTGCATCCTGTAACTCAAGATGTCGGGTTTTTTCGCGGCAATCCGCTCAGCACGGCGAAGACCGAGGCTCACCATCTTGCGAACATGTGGGATACGTAAAGTGTGACTATGGTGCATACTATCCTGGCTATATTTAGCTTAACCATATGGTAATTGCTGGCAGGGGAAGGTGTATCGAATCGGAGATGCCACAGCATTTGAACGAGGTGGATTGATCTGTCAAAACATACGAACCCTTTTTAAAAGCAACTTTTTAAGAACACCGTCAGTGTGATTTCTTTAAATTCTTGTTCCTATGGTGTTGTGGTAAAATAAGAATATTCTTTTCAGATTCCTAAAACATGTAGTGTGAACTAATTTCAACTTTTCAACTAATTCAATATTTTGAAACATCAAGTAAGAATTTCAAAAGGCAACGTAATAACGTAATCACAACTTCAATAAAATAATTATGCACGTTCAGGATTGTCATAATCATAACAAACAGAAACGAAAGTTACAAAACCCTATCTTGTCGCAAAAACACTGCTCTAGCTTAAGCGAAGAAAATTGTTTCTATGAAAAATATTTCTATGCACAAAACAAATTCAATAGATGAAGTCTAGACCAAACAAAGACACAAAAGTTAACCTGCGCATTCATATTTCAAAACAGCTGTATTGTGAATAGTTCCCGGCC